TGGATTCTGACAAGCCAAAGTGGAGACTCCTCATTGAACACCAAGATATTTAGTGAAGACTACAGAGCATAGAGACTAAAATAATGGATGATGAAGGTTAAGGATAAGCCTTAGAGAAAAAAGCTGATCCATAAATAATTTGATTGATTTCCAGAAAAACTTGAACATTCTTATTTAAAGGAAGTAAAAAATTCCAGCATTAAACAATGTAAAAAATAGCCATTATTAAATATTATTAGACATTCAAAGAAACAGAAAAATGATTCCCATAACCAGATCTTTCAACAGAAATAGATCCAGAAATTACAGGGATGATGGAATTAGCAGAAAAAGACTTTAAAGTAGCTATTATAAATATATTTAAAACATTTTATATTATTTAATTTATTTTTTAATTTTATTTTTATTGTATTTTTTCTATTGCCATTTATCCCCCTTACTCTCCCCCCACAATCACCTTTGCTGTTGGTCATGTTCATGAATCCTCTTTCCTTTTTGCTAGATCCCTGCACCCTAGCCCCCCCATAGCTGTCAGCCTGCTCTCTATCTCTGAGTCTGTCTCTATTTTGCTTGTTAGTTCAATATGTTCATTAGAATCCACATATGAGTGAAATCATATGGCATTTGTCTTCCTCTGACTGGCTTATTTCACTTAGCATAATATTCTCCAGGTAAAGGGCAAAATTTTTTTCTTTTTTATGGCCAAGTAGTATTCCATTGTGTAAATGTCCCATAGTTGCTTTATCCACTCATCTATTGATGGACATTTAGGCTGTTTCCACATCATGGTGATCGTAAATAATATTGTAGTGAACATAGAGATGCTTATGTTCTTTTGAATTAGTGTTTTTGTTTTCTTTGGATATATTCCTAGAAGTGGGATCACTGGGTCAAAAGGTAGATTCATTTTTAATTTTTTGAGGTAACTCCATACTGCTTTCCACAGTGGCTGCACCAATCTGCATTCCCACCAGTGCAAAAAGTTCCCCTTTCTCCACATCCTTGCCAGCACGTGATGTTTGTTGATATATTGATGATAGTCATTCTGATGGATGTGAGGTGATATCTCATTGTGGTTTTAAGTTGCATTTCTCTGATAATTAGTGACATTGAATATCTCTTCATATTTCTATTGGCCATCTGTATGTTCTCCTTGGAGAAGCGTCTATTCAGGTTCTCTGCCCAATTCTTAACTGGATTGTTTGTTTTTCTGAGGTTGAATATTGTAAGTTCTTTATAAATTTTGGACATTATCTCCTTATCAAAGGTATCGGCAAATATGTTTTCCTATTCTGTTAATTTTCTTTTTATTTTGTTGATGGTTTTTCCTTTGCTGTGCAAAAATGTTTTAGTTTCATGTAGTCCCGTTTGCTTATTTTTTTCTTTTGGTTTCCCTGTGGGAGAAGATATAACAGATAAAATATTACTAGGAACAATGTCCTAGATTTTACTGTCTATGTTTTCTTATAGGATTTTTAGGGTTTTGGGTCTAAAATTTAAGTCTTTAATCCATTTTGGATCTATTCTTGTGTGTGGTGTAAGATAGTTTTATTTTTCTGCACATTCCTGTCCAATTTTTCAACACCATTTATTGAATAAACTATCTTCAGCTCAAGGTATATGTTTGTTTCCTCTATTGAATATTAATTAACTGTAAAAGTATGGAGTTTTTCCTGAGCTCTCTATTCTTTTTTATTGATTTGTATGTCTGTTTTTATTCTAGTCCCATGCTGTTTTGATTACTATGGCTATATAGTATAGTTTGATATTAGGGAGCACGATTCCTCCAACTTTGTTCTTTTTTCTCAGGATCACTGTTGCTATGTGGAGCCTTTTGTGGTTCCATGTAAATTTTTGAAATATTTGTTTTAGTACTGAGAAATACATCATTGGAATTTTGGTAAGAGTTGCATAGAATCTATAGATAGCTTTTGGTATCATGGACACTTTATCGATGTTAATTTTTCCTATCTATGAACACAGAATGTACTTTCACCTATTTGCATCTTCAATTTCTTTCTTAAGTGTCTTATAATTTTCTGATGACAGGTGTTTCACATCCTTGGTTAGGTTGATATTAACATTGTCATCATATATAGTTACAAATTCTTTTTCTTGTGGTAAGAACTTTATAAACAATTTTTTTATTGATTGATTTTAGAGAGAAAGAGAGAGGATCATCATTTTGTTATTCCACTTATTTATGATTCATTGGTTGCTTCTTATATGCGCCCCGACCAGGATCAAACCCACAACCTTAGCATATGGGGATGACATTCTAACCAACAGAGCTACCTGGCTGGGACTGTGATAAGAACTTTTAAGATCTACTCTCTTAACAACTTCCAGATATGCAGTACAGTATAATTAACTCGTATTGTACATTGTACATCATATTGTACATTGTATCACTACAACATGTATTTTGTTATTGGGCTAAATTTAAAAATATTTTTATACAGAAATTTCTGAAGATAAAAATAATTTAATTATTTATTTGCTACACTATCCCTCAAACTTCCTGAAATTTAGCATTATGCATTTTCTATAAAATATTACCTCCTTCGGGAAGAGTGAAACTTCCATTCAGATCATCCCAACTCTGTCCCTAATGGCATCAAATGCATGGAACTGTACATATGATTTGTCATTGAGTTCTAAGTGTGTGTGTATGTGTGTGACAGAAAAAGAGAGAGAAGAGGAAATTTCTTCCCTAAGCAAAGACATATGCTAAATGATTTGAGATGCTACATTTGCTATATATTTAGACACTATCTTCATTTACCTTGCTGAAACACTTTTAGACCTAATAAATGTTCAATTCTATGGCAGTGTTCTGGGGTACCTGAGTCACTTGGTGTTCCATTTCATCTTTCCATTCAGAGTACCACTTTTTCTTAGGCATCTTATAAGCTTTGAGTGTTCTGATGCAGTGATTGGAAGAATATCTGTCATTGATTTACAGGAACTCCATGAAAATGACATAAAGTGATAGATTTTTTTAAAATTGTTTTTTGTTAGTGGCAATGTTCCCATTTTTGTGTTTGACTCATACAAACTTGAATTTTACTTGCTGCATTGGCTGATGCCACTTAATAATATTAGGTCTTCATGGCAGGGCATAGTGGGATCATTTAATAACAAAACAAGAAAGAAATTTGAAAGGGTCTCTACAATAACATAGCCTTACGAAGTACTGTCTCTCACCAAAGATGAACTTTTGCCATCAGAATTTTTATTTTCATTTGGAGATGAAGATTTGAGGAACAGTTGACATAAATGACCAGAGTGACTCCTAGAATTAACAGTCTGACTTCAGGTTTGAAGGTCCTTTGTCCACTGAGCTCAGCACTATAACACATTTGTTCTGAAAATACATCTGGCCTCATAACTCTACTCAGAGGCATGGAGTATACTCCTGACCTTGTATTAAGTTATTTAGGAGAGCTTTGGATGTGGTGGGGAAAAAAGTAATATTGCACTAATGACTTGATGCATGCAGTTACTTCTCACTAAAGGTTCAACACAGAGCAAAGACATAGGAATTGATGGTCTTTCAAAGGGCACATAGCCAGGAGCTAAACGTGGCTGTGTAAGAAACCAAGAATTTCTTTCTTTGCTATTATTACTTTGCTACCATGTGTTTCTTTCTGGAATTTGTATGACTTTACATAATAATATGCACTAATTCTCTTTATCATTTATTTTGAGCTTTCCTTTAGTCTAAATGTGGTTTTGTGAGTATTTGTTTTTCTAACTTATTTTAACCCATGTCTTTGGATAGTTTGTGATTAATTTAGAGAGTTGACTTTTATGTTTTCTTTTTACTTGGGCAAATATTTTGGGCCTTTCCGTGACCTATGACATTTTTTAATATTTAAGTAATATGGGAAATAAAGCTATTCAATTTTCTACACAAAGAAAAGCATCTACAGCATGTCTTACGGACTACAAGGGGAAAAGAACAGGGTAGCAGCAGTATCAACCCGAAAGGAGTACAGCAGTGTCATCAGTAGGTCAGTTCCTGGAAAGCTGTGCTGTGTTTCCACGTGCTCATGAGTTTGAAAATTAGAGAGGGAAGCTTATGATGGAGGAAACGACAGGGTGTTGCACAGGGTGGTTGATACACAACAGATTAGAAAACAGCTTTTGAGTTCTCAACCTAGTTTTGTTACAGACTGGATTTGACCCTGGGCAGGTCACCTAACCTCTCTGAGATTCATCATTTTATCTCTAAAGAAAGTGAACATGGCTCACTCTTAAGGTCCTTTTCAGCTCTCGTGTAGAAAACAATCAAGTCTTTTCACATAGGGTTTCATTTCTGACATTGATTATAATTCAAAAAATAGATTTTTGAAATGGTGGAAAAATTAGCCAAGGTTTGCAATAACACACTGAAGATGTAGTTTTAAGGATATTTGGGAGCTAGCAGACTAAGGTTCTAGGTCTAGTTTTGATAGAGTTGGTTGGCAAATTTAGGCATTTCTGTAGGGATTAGGTTCATTTTCTGTATGTGCCAGTTGGGTTAGAGGTCCTTGAATTTTCTATCATCAGTAATATTCCTTATTCTCCTTGGGTTTTTTCCCTAGTAAAATAACTCAAGGAAATGATCTAAGTGCTTAAGTATAATAGTCTCAGTTTCTAAAATATTTCCATAAGAAGTTTTGACAGGGATATACCATAATGAATCAATATACAGGGGCTTTTCAAGGGCATTATTCCAAAAAAAGCTTTACCCATTTGAATGATTTCATAAATAAAAAACTTCCCCTTTGGTAGTTATTTATTTTCCACAGACCTTCATCTATTAACAGGAGTAGAAGTGTGGAGAAAGTAGAGGGTTTGTCTCTGTAGCTCATATCATTTGGAAACAATGCAGAGCTAACACAATTATTAAATACATACTCATGACAGATATGACATGAATTATGAGAGAGCTATTGAAGGCAAAGCATTTTGACCATTGATCTTTTCCTTTTCAAATATAAAACACAAACATAAAAGGACTAGAAATACTTTATTTGGTGGAACCATACAAACAAATAAAGAGTTTCATTAATATTCTCATGTGCTATCATCATTATAACTTTAAGCAGATAAGCCTTAACAATTAATTAATTATTATTACTAATAAATCCTAACTGGTTTGCCTACAATTTAATTATAATAAATTATCATATTTTACTTTTTATCAAGTAATTTTTATAATGAGAATGAAACAGTAATATGTAGAAAAGCACTCAGAGAGAAAACATCCAAAAGTATTATCTGAGGAACTAATTTTGATGTTGTATTTATATTAAGATATGTTGTTAGTGTCCACAGTGTATCTGTGTATAAGGTTGGTTGTTGTGAAATTCCCATTTTACATATTGGGAAACAAGCATAGAATGTTTAGTAAGTTTTCCAAGGCTACATGTGTCAGGATAAAACTAGTAAGAGAATTTATCTCCAATATTTCTCTGATACAGTCCAGTGCCTAACACAGTGCACTAGGAAGAGTAAGTGCTCCATAAATAGTCATTGAATGAAAGAATGAATGACTAAATCATTCTGTTCTATGAAGTCTAAAAAAAAATCCCTGTATTTTCTCTCTATTACCTTTTCTCACTGAATTGGACAAGCTGGAGTAGCAGTTGAACAATAAACTCTATCCACTGTCCTATCACAAGTTTCCATGCTACATAAAGGGGCTTTGCAAGATGGTATCACCTGGTCAGTCCTGATAGTACACATTGCTAGGCCCCCCATAAGGAGTGTCATTAATCTTGGTTCATTGTAATGTTGGCCTTTGTGGGGTGAGTTAGGTCTATCAGCATGTGGCTGAGACCTACTGCTCTCACAAAAGTCACTGAAAGTCCATTATCAGTAACAAATGCATTACTGATGCCCTAGTCTAACGATATTTTAGTAAACCAGTGTTGTAAATCTTGGAATTAAAGAACTTAGGTAGTTGCAGTCCTTGAAAATAAATCGCCTATTGGCTCTGGCTACCTTGCCAGAAAGTAAATACAATGCTAGAAAAAATAACTCAATTTATTTCCTGAGTTAATTTGACATAAGTTGAGTTGCAACTGTAAACATAAAGAGATCACAGTGGCAAGACTGTTGGAGCTGATAAGAAAATGTGGTAAAGAACACAAATGTTTATATCATTGGGAGACAAAAGATAGCAAAACCACAATAGTCACTCCCAATGATGTGTTGTCAAGTAAGTTAAAGACTGTCATTCATTTCATTGGCACTGATAACCAATTACCAAAGAAACAAGTAAGACGTATCATGATGCACTTATGTTTAAAATACGTTCCTTCAAGTTTGATGACACTTGTATTTTTTCTTTTTGAGAAAAAAAAAAACTATTTAATTCCATAGAAGGATCCTATTAAAGTGAAATGAAAATACTCTTGCATCTGTCACCCAAATTTAGTGACTGATCTAAAATTTCACCCAGGTGATACTTTCTTTAGGTCATAGTCTGGAGAGATCTGAAAATTCTACATCTCATTTGCCTATATTTTACACAAATGATTCACCAGACCTGCCTAATTGGGTAGTGTATTTTCACTAGAGTGAATGTCTTAGAGATAAGATTTATCAAACATTTCTATTCCTTTTTGTCATGCCTGAAGTTCAAAGACATTTTTGAGCTCTAAAGGAGCATCACAAGGAAAATACAGCACTCTTTGGTACAACTGTAACCCAGTCTCAGACCATAGTCACAACCAAAATAAAAATAGACATAAATAAAATTAAACTATTAAACATCAGCTTATTGGTAAATTAAATTTAAATACCTACATGATGCAAAATCGTAGCTTTTATATAAGTTCATGTACTCTTTAAACTTAGGCATAGTCTATGTTTTTATTTAAAAATGCATATCTAACTGAAATCAGGAATTTGATGTTATAACTGTATCAATTACATCTAAAAGACCATTATTAAGTAAACTTCAAATTAATTTGTGAACAGCCCTAAGGTGAGTGGAAATAGAAAAAATATATAAACACCCACGCCAGCAACAAACACAAATAGCAGATTCTTGAGCTCCAGACCCTTCAACATGTCTGCTTATTACTCAATCCCTTTGCCCACTTTTTTTCTATACCAGGTGGAAAAGTAAAATATTTTCAAAGAAATCCCCCCAATTTTTAAATTTCAGTTGTCTCTGCCACTGTGGACAAAGGGAAGATCCTATTCTCAGTCTTAAAGCCCATGTGTGTCTATTGTCCTTGTTGCTTCTGTCCTGGAGAACTTGATGGGCCAGAGCTCTCTCCAGGGTGCTGTGCAGGAGTGACAGGAAACTGAAATCCATAGCCATTGTAACCATTCAGGTAGACACATTGGAAGAAACTGATAGGACCTATGGAATAGAGCATGATAATTTGTGAAAAGAAGCACAACAAACGTGAAGCACAGCAAGGCAGTATAGTACAATGCATATAGACATGGGTTCTGTAGCCAGATAGCCTTGGCAATGACTGGCAAGTTACTAAACTTCTTTGTGTCTTGGATTCCTCTTATATAAAGCTGAGACATCAACAAAAACCTCACAGGAATGTGGAAGTTAATAAGAAAATATACATGATGCAATTGAAATACTTCCTGGCACATAATAAGCCCCTACTAAATGCTAATAAAAATGACCTAGCATGCAAAGTCAGTGTTTACTTTATAGAAATCTATTAATGTACAGTATTCAAAAAAACCCTTAGATAGTCACAGGTTTCAAAACACAAGTTTATCAGTATTCCAAGTAACAACAACAACCTCCTCCTCTTCCTTCTCCTCCTCCTTCTTTGCATTAATAATACCTTGGAGAGCCTTGTGGTTCCTAAAATTTTGAGATTTTCCATTTGCCCTTATTCTGGAGGCAAGTGCTCTCCTGAGATGAAGAAGTTACTCATTAAGGTGATGCCTCCAGGTAGCAGCTCTGTTGTAAGAGCAGGGAGAAGCAGAGGAAAGGAACTAAGGCCGAGTGAGGAAGTACACACGGCAGATACAAGCATGAGCTCTGAGCCCAGGAAGCTGGTGCTCCCAGGTAGCAGCTTTTTTCAGAGATGGCGAGTTTAGCCTCTCTTCACAATCATGGGCACCTAGTGACTTGTCAGTGTCTTTCTCCTGTTCATTTGCATTCTGTCTAACCAGAGACTTTTTGCAGACAGACAGGAAAGTGAGTAACAATTGTATGGGGAATACAGGAAGGTGGCCAAACAAAGGAATTATAGACTAAAGAAATGCTTGGGTAGAAAGAAGCTGAGAGAAGCAGCAAGACATTATTTTAATTTCATCATCCTGGATGACAGCTGACTTTAATCTTTTAATCTCTGGGTTTTCAATGATGAAAATACAATAGTTTGGAGAAACCTTGAAAGGAAAAAGTTTTTTTTCCTTTTCGCTTCATCCCATGCAGAAGCATTTCCCATTTTGTTCTAACGATGAACAGGTGCAGTAGTACGATTCGCCCCCTCCCCGAAGGTTGTGGCAGCTTGGGGGACAGACAGTCTACCCAGAGGGAAGGCAATCAAGTTAGGCCTGTTTTAAGGAGAAATGGGAGCACCATTGCTAAAAGTAGAAGAGTTTATCAAAGACAAGCTACCTTCTGGCTGAACTTTGTCAGAGGTAGGTTCTATTCTGACACATTTATTTAATTGATGTTGAATAGGCTGTTAATGAAAATATCGATATGGCTGCAAATATTAGAGCTTACCTAAAAGGCACATGGATATCAGGCTATGGGATTACTTTATAGTAAGATGAAAATAGGAAATATTATTTACTATATATAATAAGTCTGCCAATTGAATTAAAATGTATATCTTTTTATTAAAAATATTGAATTATTTGTTTTTAATTAAGCTTTTTATTTTGAGATCATTGTAGTGTTACATATGATTATAAGAAATAGTGCAGAAGAATCCCATTTATTCTTCAGCCAGTTTCCCCCAACGGAAACATCTTTGCAAAATTATAATGCAATATCCCAGCCAGGAAATTGACATTGCTGCAACCGAAATTTCTTATTGAATTATGTTTTAATACTTATAAGGACCCCCCCAAACAGAATTTATTTGTTAAAAAATTGTGTATTTATTCTTACATATTTAAACTTTAGTCACTCCAAAGTACTCCTGATTTGATGCTATACACCTACTGCGATGTCTTTTCCACTTCTCAGAACAGTTTTTGAACTCATTGATTTTCATGCCTTTTAGTGCTTCTGCTATTTTTGTTTGTTTGTTTCTCCTCTTCCACTTCTGATAAAATTTTCCCTTTGAGGACTTTTTCATCCAGGGAAACAAACAAAAAAGTTGCTCAGGCAAGAGCTGGTGAATACGGAGGGTAGGCGAGGGAGTCATGCTGTTTTTGGTGGAAAACTGCTGAACACTCAGCACAGTATGGGCAGGTGCACTCTAAAAGTGCCATCATTAAATGATCAGATGCGTTGAAAGAGTCTTCAAAAAAATTCATTGCCGTTGAACATAACCTCTCACAACAATGCCAGGTGGTGCCCTGATACAGATGAGTGTTCTCACCCATCTGGGTGAGTGTTCTAGGAACCCACCAGGAGCCTGCCCCCGAGAAGATAATTCCAGGGTTTTGGGGGGTTACTCCTTGTATTTATGAACTAAATTTTAAGTATTTATGTGATATATCCACAAATTGTTACTGTAGGTAAACAGTTGGGAAAGCATTGCTGTATAAATCAGAAACATGCCAAGATTATCTTTATGGATTTTGCAACAGCATCTAAGATTGACTGATTGTTTCCCTGTATTTCTTACAACCTGATAATTTGAAGGGTTATAATGACCATTTCTAATATCTAAACAGAGTTTGGGACATAGTAGGCCCTGAGTATTTGTTCAATGAATCATGTGCTATATAGAGTAGGAGGCATTTGCTAATGTAGAGGGCATTTTTGTAATTTCCTGTAGAAATACATTCAAGATGCATTGTAGAATCCTGAGAACATTGACATCATTTCCTAAGATAAATGTCTATTCTTTACTTAAAACACTATGTGAAACAAACTCCAATTACACTTATTTTCAAAATTGCTTCTTTCATCCTGTCTGTCCAGCAACACATTTAATGCGAATTATGTATATGTGAATTGATAACTGGTATTCAGATGATATTGCTTTACCATCTGAAGAAAAAATGTCTAATTTGGAAGGAGTGGAATAATGAGAATCTTTGGTATTGAATTTTATAACTGCATATGAATATTGATTACATTCCAAAATCAATGATACCCAAAACTGAATAATAAGAGCCTACCGTATATCTAGAAGAACCAAAAGTAACTTTCAATCAATGACCTAGACGTGCACTTTTTTTTGTTTTGATATTAAAAAGTTCAGCATATCACTTTAGCTTCTGTTTCATAATGTAGAAAATAACACAGATTTAAGCAGACACTGAGCCGGAGCACTCAGGCTTAGAGCTGTGTGGGGTGATTTGCAATAAATGCCACTTCAGTCATCGCTGTAATTCCCCCAGATATGTGCCTCTTGCCTGACACAAAAAGTGAAGAACTTCTCTTTGAAATATAAATGACCCATTTTATTCTTCATGTTATTCTTCATGTCTGTGCTAAAAATCCTTTTATTCTAATACTGATCTTCAAAGAGTTTTAAGTTTAAATTTATATTTACCATCTTCAATATAGATTCATTGAACAGTTTTAATCTAATTGTAAACTTACTTTTTTGCTTCTTTGTGGAAGACACTTCTTCAGCTTCTTCTAGCGGATATAAAAATATGAAAGTACATAACTTTTACATTCACAGCTATTATGTAACAAATATGTATGGGTCAGAAAATGTCTAAACAGGTGCACAGTATGAAAAGCAACGGGAACTACTTGCCCTTCTTATATTATACTTTAGGTTCTTGTTTAGATTATGTTCAATCTTGCACTAAAATTTTGATAGCTAAGAGCCAATGATAGAAGCGGAACCAATGAAAGAGAAGAGTGTAACATGCTACAAGCAGTTGTTCAAATAGGAGACTGTTACTGGTATGTTGGATGTTGGTGGGTGAGGGCTAGTAAACCCCTTTTGTTTCCTAAAAAAAACTTCGATGCTCAGAGCTATAATATGGTAAGTGTAGAATTTGGTCATAAAATGACAATTTTAGTCAAAGTAATTCTAAATTTGGGAAGACTATGTGTTTTTGGTGATCACTCCTGAATCCTTTCTTTTTCTTATCTGAAGCAAGGGCTTTGTTTGCTGTTGTGATATGTAACATGTATCTATCCAGTGTTGGATAATTTGAAGACATTCATTTGAACTCTTTTCTCCAGGTTAGAGGTTCTTTGTTGGTCTCTTTGGACTTTGGGGTGGGATTCATATAAAATCCTGAAATGTTAAGATGTGAGTATGTATGTGCCTGTGTGTGTGTTTCATCTAAAGTTAGGTTTTAGAGTTTATTAAATTCTAAATGAGTTCAAGAACCTTTCTTCTCAAGGTGTGATTCATGTACTGGCAGTTTTACCATTATTTGGGAAATTGATATAAATGTAGTTCTTAGGCACCAAGCCAGACTTATTTCATTTTAACAAGACTGTGAGGGCATTCATGTGTAAAATAGTTTGAAAAGCGATAGTTTAGAAGTCAAAAACGTATTAAGAGTTGTTGTTCTTAATAATTCATTTGCTTAAAATATCTAAAAAGTCAGTACTCAAAAATGTATCCTGACAAGTATAAATTATTTTTCAAAAGACTCAGGTACCAAATTCCTTGTGTCTTTTCTCAAAGCATTATTTTCTACACTGTTAATTAATTCTGGGCACTGCCACAAAATTTACATTTTCATGGTAAGAAAAACTCTGAGGCAAAATTTTATTGTCCACAGGCAAATTTAGAAGTAGAATAGAAAATATCTGTTATATAACAAGCCAAAGTAAGAGGCCAGGTAAACCTTCAGGGGAAAAAATGCATCAAATTAGTTGAAGCCTTTGCAATAAAGATAAAGAAATTTAGTCCTTGGAAGACTCACTTAGGATCATGCATATGGTTGTACAAGATTTTTCTGAGATTTGAGGCCTTCTTCTCTTCCCTTTCCCTCTCTCCTTTTCTCCCTCCTTCCCTCCCTTCCCCCTTCCTTCCTTCTTTCCCTCTTTCCTTTATGATCTTACTGCTAATATAGGCAAGTTATTTTAATTTTTCTTAATAAAAATATGTCAAATGCACATTTGAATATACATGTGCTCCTCCTGTTGTCAAATAACATCTTCTAAGCCTCGGTGATACAATCATTTTGAAATATTGCTCTTGCAAGAAGATTGGCCAATAAATGCTTCTAAACTACTTGTAAATAAATCAGAGTCCTACTAGTAGCTTCAATGTATGAAGATACACACACACACAAATGATGGAAAAACCTGTTTGTTTAAAAAATGTCTACCATATAAACATTGCTTAGGAAAAGGTAAATGCTAGGTCAAAAATTCTTAAATCAAACAGGCAGTTGAAATATTATGGTCTTGAAGAAAAAAATTCATAAGTGAATTTAAGATAATAAGCTCACCTTTAGTGTTCTTTGAGGCTGGAACCTCTTCAGAATCTTCTAGAGAGCAAAACAAACAAACAAAAACAAAAAAAACCCCAGTTTATTCTTTAGATTTCCCAAGAGAAAGTATTGTATTTAATGGGTTTTGAGTTTCACAGGATCTCTTTACTTCCCAAATCAGCATCTAACATCTCTACAAACAAGAATCTCCAGAGATTAAGGTAACATCTTTGATTTAGAGCAGGGGGAGGAATGAGTGTCCTGCCAGTCATGGGTGGCTAAAGCAAGGAGGACCTACAGAGACCCTCCCCAAAAGCCCCTCCTCCTCTGACTCCTCAGTTCCCTGTTCAAAACCACCATTACTTTTGGAATTTAGAGAATTTGAGGTAACTAGATTCACATACACAATGTAGGGCAAGAGGGAAATACCATCCACATATTTTGTTAACAGACTGATCTTTGACAATTGCAAAGGCAATTAAAAGACATTAAAAGTTAAACTAAAGTTAAAGTATAGAAATAATGACTCTTAAGATGCATTATGTACATTGTTTGGTCTTTTATGCCTTCTACTTAAGAGTATATAGTAGAAAACTGTGAAAGTAACTTTAAGTCAGCGATAATTCTAACACAATATAGTTAAATGATCTTTAAATTTTCATATCAACTTTTTAGCACTTATTCTGAAAAAGGGTCAGTTATGTATTATTTATTCACATTTTGCATACCAGCTGTTCACAAATAAACAGAAAAGGGGTAAAATAGGTCAGTATGCAAATTTTCTCAAATATGAAACAAAGATGATCTTTAAGAAGAGATGTCATTATGTAAAAGAAAAACAGGGAAATAGAAACATAATTACAAGGCTTTTTTTCCCACAGCAAATTACTGAAGTTTTAATATGATTAGTTTTCTAAAAGATTTAAATATAAGCTTAACTCAGTTAAACACTGGGTTAAATGGCCATTGTCTTAAACTGTCCAATAAACAGCTATAGATAAAGATACAACATAAATGGTTGCATGGTAATTTAAGTAGTACCTATGTTTAGAGAATCATGTGAGAGTTGTAGAGAAATCAATTAACATTTTAATTGTATAATAAGAATCTGGTAATGTGTAATGGAAGATGTTTACAAAATTAAAATGATGCAAGGCTTTTGTACACAAAAATAGACATTTTATTTTTGTGGATTATAGCACACTTAAAACTAAGACACCTATCCTGAGGATCTATTCGTTACCCTTAGGGAAATAAATATGGGTAGAATAAAAGCTTTAGCTTCTTTTTTCCTCCAAATTCTAGTTTTACAGTCAAAGTGAAAATTAACTTGAAGTTTCCCTGTAATTTGTTTATTTAGAAAATAGTTACTTTTTAGCTATAATTGCAATGAGCTCTCCTTCTGTGCCATGTACTCTTTTAGGTATTTTATATGTTTTCACTTAAGCCTTACAATAGACTTATAAAACAGGTAGAATAATCCCCATTTTACAAGAGAAACTTGAGGTTAAAGAAATTTAAAAAGAATTTCTGTTCAAGCAACACGTTTTAAAAAGTGTTAGAAGAATATAGGAAGCTAATTTTCCTCAACTTCTAAATGCTTGTGATTTGAACTAAACTATTCTGTCTCTACATGCAAAGAAAGTGCTTTGCTATGTGCCTTGAAAGAACCAAAAACAAACACAATGCTACATGGAAGTAACCAGCAGTCAAATGAAGAAAATGGACATATATTCAAACAGATATAGGGTGCTAAGGACCTCAAGGTGGTATGTGACAATTGTCAAAATAAATGTGAGGTGTTTCCAGGGTGGAATGGTCACTCTCTCCTATGGTGAGAAGAATATTCCAGTCAAAGAGAATGACAAGACTAAAGTTTTGGATATAGAAATGCTAGAAATATGAAAATAATTTTGGTTTAAACCTGTGATAGGTATAAAAATGATTATAGAAAAAATATTTAAAACATAGTTTAAGCCTGGATCATAGAGGCTCCAGACCCCCCAGGTTAAGAAATGAATTTATTCTAAATTTGCCATGAATAAATATCAAACATTTATTATATAAATGGCCTAATCAGTTTAAAATATTGAAAAACTTTATCTCTCAGTAGAAAACGAAGAATGAGATAAATTATTAAGAAGGTACGTTATACTTCAGAACAGTTTGGGGCCTTATCCACAAACAGGTAGCCAGCAAGTGCAGATGACCTCACTGAGGAAGAGTGCAGAAGAGTAGGAAATAGAGCTAAGAATGCAAGAACTCAGCCTCTGGGTCAGGGATGGGGGGTGAGGTGCGGAAAGGACAGCAGAATCCCAATACTAAAAACAAAATAAACCAAAAAGTTCAGTATTATGGGAGCCAAGAGAAGAAAACATTTCAAAAAGTGTGGGACACTAAAAATGTTGAATACATTCGAGTGGTTGAGAATGGAGGAGAACTGAGAAAAGATAAAAAGGTAGTTAAGCTTTGCATTTTCGAGGTCTGGGTGGAGTTTGAAATACATACCCTATTTGAGGAAAGTGTCAAGGCATAATATTCAAGTTGTATGAAGTTAGAGCCTGAAGAGGTGGTGAAGAACAGGTGAGAAGCTTTTTGCAGAATTGTGATTATAAGTGAAAGCAGAGAAAAAAGCAAAATAGCTTCAGGAAGTAAAAAGGGTAAGAAAATTTTACTTGAGAAAGTAGGCAAAGGGAGGAGGATTTCTTAGAGTAAGACCTGAAGATCGGTGATTGAGAAGTAAGGGTTAAGGGAGGCAAGAAGGGATAGAGTCAAGGAGGACATGATTTTCTAAGAAACAATGTTTCTCCATCTGAGAATGGGTGGGAGGGTAGTGTTAGGTAAAAAAATGAGAAAGATGAAAAGAAATTGTAATTAGGTGAGAAGGAACATTTTAAAGAACTACATTGATTGCAAAGATTGTTAATTTTGTCTTATTTTAAGATAAAATATTCAGTGTAGTGCCTAGTCTGCTTATTCTTAGCAAACATGATAAATAAATAAAAAGTTTCTTAAATAATGCATGTGTGTGTACCAGAAGTTACTGTACATTTATTTCCATTAGCAGCTTATTCTATTTGTGCAGACTTTCAAGAAATAGGCATAGGTAAACATCTGAAGTTCTTATGTACAGACACAAAGGTAACAGCATGGAATTTTGTATTCTTTGTCACTCCTCTGTCTTTGTTTGATTGCCTGCACCAATTTGTCTTTGCAGAAATACCAACAACTCCATATTATTTCCTCAACTGATGTGCTGGATTATGTATAAATACTATGATGAGCTATTTGTATTCTGAGGGTTTTTTTTCCTCCAAGAAGTCCTGGGAATCCACAGTAGTTCAAAGCAGCAGTTGACAGCCACTTTATTTTACTTCTCAGGTGTGAAAGTCTTCTATGTATGCTAGTATTTAATATAATCATGACTTTTAAAGAAAATTAACTGGTACACTGAGAAATGGTCACAGAATTCTTGAAATTGACCCCTGGGACTAATAAAGTGTGCAGAGACAGTTTACATTTGGAATTCTGCACACAGTGAAGCCAATGGTATTTCATAAACATGTGCAATCCCTTCTGAGGGTCTGTCCTGTCACTCTGAGGACAAGGCGCAACTGTCTTGAGGGCAACATCAGAGCAACTTAACATCACCAATAAATGAATGAGGGCACATTGCTGGTTTCCAAAGACTAATAATGATCAGTGACAGACATTCCACCTACTGCACCTTCTACACAGACTTTCTCTGGGGTCTAGCAAAGGGAGTGATCAGAAGGGCTTTTATTCAACAGATTTCAGCCAAAAGTAACTGCTTCATTTTATTTTCTTCTGTAACAAAATCTGCATGTATTTATTCACTCTTGCTCCAAAAAGTGGGAATGTTTTAGGTCCACCCTAAAATAAATAAGATGTTCTTTCTTATTATGATTTTAGTTCATGGTTTTATTCATTTGAACACAAAAGCTTAATAAGCAAAACATGTCCTTAAGCAGGGAGGTAACCCAGTATTATGCCATGATCATCTCCATCACCATCGTTATCATCATTATTCTCAGAGGTGCCAATTAATAATCCTTAGTTATGCACCAATCATTATTTACGCACATCTTACTTAAACAACCCCAAATTTGTTTTTTTATAGATGTATTTGTTTGTTCGTTTATTTATTTAGAGGGGGAAGGAGGGAGAAAGAGAGTGAGAGAAACATAAATCAGTTGCCTCTCAGTTGGGGACCTGGCTTGCAACCCAGGCATGTGCCCTGGCTGGGCATCGAACCTGTGACCTTTCAGTCCACAGGTCAGCGCTCCTTCCACTGAGCCACACCAGCCTGGGCTGCCCCAAATTTCTTCTTATTATAATCCACATTTTCAAAATAAGGCTACTAAGCACAGAAATGTTAAGTAAAATCCCAAGTTTATATAGCTTTTAACTCATGATTAGAACCCAGCCCATGTGAAGCCAATGTCCCTATCTGACATTGCCCTATAGTATCTTTTGTATTTCTACCATTAATTTGGTGCGTATTTGCTTTTAATAAAAACTACACTGGTATTAGTATTCATCAACATTCTCTTCCAGTAAGTGATCTTCACCAATATTCCACCTCAGCAATGAACCTCCAACAAAAAAACAAACAAAATCAGACATTTTAAAAAACAATTATTGGTATGTATATATGTGTGTGTGTGAGTATCCTGGAATAACATTTAATCTGTACACTATGAAAAGGCACATTTTCCTTTTTCAAAGGTTTGTGCATATAGGTATTAACTGAGAATGGTTTTGTTCTAAAGAAGATTAAATTTAGGATTCTATAATCAAAGACTACCTAAAGTTTTAAGAACAAATTTAGGTTGACACAATTACCTGGAAGTAGGGCATCACAGAGTTTATTTTTTCATTTACAAAAGAAAGTTATGAACTTTAGTTAAAACACCATTTGTGGGTAACATTAAAAACATAACTTGGACATTCAAACTCCTGATAATATGATAGGTAACAACTACACAAGCAGACCGCTGGAGCAGGGCTGGGCTCAGAGGAGGTGAAATAAACCT